GAACCAGATATCCACTTTCACTGGGACATCGTCCTGACGAGTCTCATCTGCTGGCTTTTATTATTAATGAGTCAGACGCACTCAACAAGGAGAGTTCGAAGTTCAACCTCATGATGAACCAGGTCTATTTTTTCAAGACTTTAGGTGTATTTTACAGGACTGACTGCCTGATTCTATATAGGCTTACCTATCCAAAGCAGAATTAAACGTGATTCCTGTAAAATCCTTACAAAGATTTCATTCCGATTAAAACAAGTTATTTGTTCCGGTTCACTGAGCAAAGTTAAGGCTCACTGAAGCGGTTCTGTTCTGTAATGAAGGATTTATGTTATCTGACCTATTACCAGTTAACAGTAGTTTGTTACATAAGAAAAGCATTTCTTGTCATTCGGCGAGATCCTTTGTTAATACCAACCTATCAGACCTGCAGACTGAGCCTCCTTACTGAATATCCACAGGCAGTATAAGCGGAGGTTGTTGAGGTTTTCTCATCGTGTATGGGAACAGCTACGATTACAGAAAGACGACATGGATTGGTGAAAGGTGATGTGAGTATCAAATGTAACGCCCTCACATTCTGGTCACTATCCCGCTGTTACAGTTCAGCCGCACACATGCTATTCCCTCCACGTGACGTACAATCCACATAATACTAAAGATAAAGTGAGAATTTACACACTGACATAATGCAGATTTGTTGCTTTTACAGACGGTACGGAATCGTCGACTTCGTACTATCACACACACAGAATCCAAGAATATCCACACAGAGAGCCAAACTTCGTCCCACTGTCAGGGAGTTCTCATGAAACCACCCTCAGTTTCTAGATGTAGAAATGATAAACTACAAAAAAACTGCGTACCCTTCTCAATAACGGTATATAATAAAGAAGCATTTGAGGATATTCGATTCTTATTCGCACCCAATTAATGGCGATGCAGTGTTCAGTCAAGCGGGTTGTGCGCCAGCCCTCTGACACAAACACCGAGCTGTTGCTGATCGATTTCACTCAGAGTACAGGAGCGTCTCCAGAGCTTGACCGAGCGGCGAAGACTGAATCTCTTCTCCACTTGGCGTTGATGGACGGCCTGCGCGGCCCGGTTCTTCACAGGTACACGCTGGATACTCAGGATACACCTCTCTGAGGACACACACATTATGACCCAGGTGATCTCACTGCGGTAT